GGATGATATCCCGGAATATAGTGTCATCACATTTTTCCATCCGTGAATCAATACGTGAGAATATCATATATATATATATATATATATATATATATATAAATATATATATATATATATATATATATACATATATATATATATATATATATATATATATATATATATATATATATATATATATATATATATATATATATATATATATATATATATATATATATATATATATATATATATATATATATATATATATATATATATATATATATATATATATATATATATATATATATATATATATATATATATATATATATATATATAAACGGGTGACTCAGAGTAAATTTCACTATTTAAACGCGCCTTGTACATCCAACTTAATATTTGGGGGGGGGGGGGGGGGGGGTTAGCGCTGGTTATCAGTCAACATGGAGCAGTGGTCAAATGAGCAACGAGCGTTTATGGTCGAAGCGTTCTTTAAATCGAACGATTCGTATGTTGCGGCACGGCGACGTTTTTGTAACCGTTACAATAATCGGCGTTTACGTGATGCTCCGTCAAACAATTTATTGAAATCGTAGGTTAAAAGATTTAGACAAAGTGGTACAGTGGCAAATCAGAAGCGTCCCGGTCAACAGAGGTCCATCAGAACGCCAGAGAATATTGAGATTGTGCGACGTGCTGCGACTGAACATCCGAGGCGCTCAATTCGAAAACATGGCCAGACCCTGAATATTCATCGCTCAAGTGTGCAACGGATTTTAAGCAAAGACTTACGGTTCCATCCCTACAAAATTCAATTGGTGCAGTTTCTAAAGCCCACAGACTACGAATTACGAAAAAATTATTGTGAGGCAATGATGAATATGTTTTGGAACGAAGGAGGATTGGACAACATTTTATTCAGTGATGAGGTTCACTTCCATCTAGAGGGGTATTGTTAACAAACAAAACTGTCGCTTGTGGAGCCCCGACAACCCAAAGAAAAGCATGAAAAACAATTGCATTCCAAGAAGGTAACAGTTATGTGTTTTAATTAGTAATGGATTTAATATTAGATTTGTTAGAGATTATTTTGTAAGAAATGAATAGCTTGGCTAGCAGTCAGTAGGGGCATTTTAGAAAATTTAAAATGGACATAAAACAACACAAAACACCGATGAAAAATTTAAAAAAGGGAGAACTGAAACGCAACCGCACAGCATCTGAAGATGCCAGATGAAATTTTGGCGAAACTTCACTTGAGACCACAATGACACTGACGGTGAAAGTATTGTCAACAGCAGTTCTAAAACATATTAAACCAAGCAAAAAACCTTACGAAATGATAGCAGAACTTCTAAAATAGCATAAATAAAAACCAAATGTAATGCAACAAATTTAGTTACTCGATGTTAATGACAAGTAGTTGATAATTAAACTGCCGCTGCATTTGCAACGAAACACACAAAAATTTGGGTATTGCAATTACGTCAGTGAAGCAGATCCTCTAAACATGGCCACTGTAAGGATTTTTCAAAACAAAATTAAAGAAAAAACGTCCTAGGGTTAGTGAGGCACACATCCCGAAATATATAAAAGCTAAGTTTCTGAAAAACATTAAAACATTTAAAATTTTAAAGAAAGTATCATAATACTAACCTAGTATTTAATAAAACCAAAAATGTTTCTTACGACATACTGTTTCAATAAAAGTCAGTGTAATAACAATAAATGAAACACACGCTGCATTTTCTTGTCATGTAAGATAAGGATCTTCATGTAAGCTATCTTTGAGTAAAAAATCACTAGAATCTTTATTTGCAAGTCTTTACTTATAATTTTTCTGCCAGCTAGTTTTGGTCAGATGAAAATTTCTTTTACTCTCTTGTCTTGGGATATATTTCTTTTTTCGCCTTAAAGTATTTTCCTAATTCCAGTGTGTATGGATAGATGTTATAATTTGCTTCCTTGTTGACGCGTTGGACTAATATTTTCTGGAATAATAAGAGCGGGAGCAGCTTAATGATCTGGAAGCAGATTTAGAATGAACGATTGAACTTCTTGATTTGTCTCATTTTTAGTTGGTACTACTGTAGCATTTCCGTTATCATGTGTGGAATGATCGTTATCTGGCTTATCGTTTAGGGTTGTTTCAATGAAACCACTATCATAAAAAACACATGGATTAAGCGGATAAATCTAGGTTGTTGAAAAGTCACGGATAGCCAGTTCCGAACACTGCCTAATAGGCAAGATCAAAAATACTTGCTATTTCATAATGAGTGATTGGTCTGATAAACGTCTTCTCCGTAAGGTACTTCGATATTACTTGTCTGACTTGTATACACATCTAATATCAGAAGCACGAGAAAAGCAGCGGAAGGTTTGACATTTTCCAAGTGGTTAAACCATTTAGTGAAAAGCTCTGTCTGTATCCAACCTGAGGGATGACAAGCGTGCATTGATCCAGCTGGAGCACCATTCATTAGAAGTGGATGATCTCGCTTTCCGGCTGCATTCCTTTAAATTATTCACGTTATTGTTGAAACTCGTTCCACTGAAGTGATTGCAGCTATTTGCTTTTCCCCTTTAGAGATAAAACAAAACCGATATCTAAATTGTGGCAGGATATTTAAACTCTTCCATTTATTTATTCCTGTTGGATGGCGATTGCAAGTCAGAAACAGTTTCAACCGCATTTTGCCTGTAGAATTACTTCGTCTTGAAAACAGGTTACTTTAATTGTTACGTACTGTCACCTGATAAGCAATTGACTTAATGTTGCGTCTGCTCAAACCAAACCGAGTTTGCTCCAGGGTAAGGATATAATTTACCAACTCTGCTTCTAAATTTAATATTGAATTAATATTTGTAATTAGCCCTAGAGGTAATTCTATTTTTTTAGATAAACATGTGAGTGTCGTTTTTAGAACGCTAAAGGATCTGGCAGCTTTTAGATACCCCCCATTCTGTTCTCTTTAACGACAAGAATAGCATCTGTCATTGCTTCCTTATTTCAAGCTTGCCTGGAGCAAGGTTTTTGCTTTTGCGATGAAGCCATATTCCAAGATAAGAAATACGGCTTTTTGTATAGACCAATGTATAATAATGGAAACTGATAGGTAGTCAATATTATAAGAACAAGAATCCCACACCCTGCTTTAAAACTACTGACTTTATGTAGGTACAGTCTAGCATTAAATGGGACCAGATTTCGTTAAGGGCGCTATTGCCATATTATGTTTCTTCAGTATCTCTTGAATGGACGAATAAAATATGCTAAAGTCATCTTTAGCGTTCGCAATGGACGCATGTGGAAAGCGTGAAAATATGATAAAACGTTGGTTTCATTTTCTTCTGAGTTGGTAACAGGTTTTGGACGTTCCTTTCTTCGTAGATTTCGAAAATTTACTTCAATTCTTTTAAACTTTTTCTAATGCACTGGTGACAAATGCGGATATTGTTCAATAAACCTTCTGCACGTTCTTGAATTATGTACCATCTTGCTTGCACCACCTTAAATGCAACTTTTAACTATGAAAATTCGATAAAATGAGAAATCCAAATATTTTTGTACAAGAAACGTTATCATTGCCAGTTGGAGTCTGCTACCCAGATGAAATGTGATTATGTCGAACACAAATTTGATAACAAAAAACGCCACCATGGCCGGCCAGAGCCTGCTACCTAGATAAAATGTGAGTACAAGATGGGAATGATACATAAAAAAGTTCCAAAATGTTTCGAAGAGTCTAAAAATGTAATAATATACAGGGTGTTTAAAAAAGAAAGTTCATATAGGTTACCAATATATCTGCTAACATCGTATGGCCAAAAATATTTTACATAGATAGCTCATATTTACTTACATAGGTAACCAACATTTCAGGCATTTACCGTAAGTCATTATCCATAGACGTCTAACAGAAAACTCACCGTAAATAACCCTGTATAAAAATGTTATTAGCTTAAAAATAACTGTATGATTTCATCAATGTTATGTTTACTCCAGTAATTCTTAATATTTATGGGGCGCGATAAAAATAAAAGTTAAATGTAAAACATAAGACGTGTAATATTATTTATTTAGGTCGTTATTCAAACAAAAAATAGCAACAAAAAAATTATAAACACCTTGTCACATTAAAACAGGATATCATTTCAAACACCCAGGTTATTTTCGAAAAATTATTAATCGGAGATTTGGAACTGATACCTACGAGACAACGAGCAGGGTATTCGTTCATTGAAACAGCCAAATGTGAATAATTATAGCATTATCAGGTGATTCACTTCCAGAGCCGAAGTAATCAATTCCAAGGATGATTGTAAATGTTACTTAGACAATCCCAACAAGTTGTAATTGTTATGGTCAAGTGATTTCTTCTTCTTCTTCTTCTTCTTCTTCTTTCTTCTTCCGTCAATAAGGATTTCCAAGTATTTTGTAATCGGGTTTTTGATAAACTGTTGTTCATTTTAGTTTCGAATGTTAAAATTTTTGGGTGACTTTTTAATCCTTTTAAATCCTTCCAATGGGCCTTGACTGACGCCTTGTGTTCTTTAAGAATCTGTCAAACTAGTACAGTCAAGTTTTTTCAAAGGAACTTACACAGGTTACTGTAATTCCGATTGATTTTCTAGTCCATTTTGAAAACGGGCAATATGATGTTGATTACAGTTAAAGTGTCAACCGTCTAGTGACTGAAAAAGTCCAGATCACACATTTTGTCCTATTTAATGACACGATAGAGTGTTTTTTACCAGTTCACCGGAATCCCTTCCATAATACCTTTAGCACACGGCTGAATGCAGAAGATTTGTAATGAACATTAAGCAACGAAAATTTTGAGTGAAAAATTTGATTCAAAGTCTCATTATATTGATAGCGCTACAACAAAATACTCGAACGAAATACACATTTACGCATGTACGATGAAGAGGCCAGTCCATATCTGATTCACTTATCTATTTGTCCTACTGAGAAACGTGCATTATCGCATCTCTATCATTAAGATCCGACCCAGCGCAATGTTGTGTATATAACTTAATTTTAAATCAGGCGCCGCCATTAGAGTTCGTCATATTGTTACTGGTAAGTATTATTATAGGAATAATTGTGATTGAAATATCAGCTATCTACGATTTAAAACCTCATTATCAAATGCTGGTAAGACCGCTCGCCATTTGTTTAAAATTAATGGTTATAAAATTATTATTAGAAAATTATATTTTTTTATGCTTCAAACCAATTCTATCGCGTGCTATATCATTAGAAAGGTAATAAAATTCTCTATTTAATAAAGATAACACTTAATTAGGTCTCCATTGCAAAAAAAAAACTGAAGTGCGAAAAAAAACTTTTTTGGTCGTTCTATTAAGGATAAAATTTCCTGAAATTTTTGCATTTTTCAATTTCGTTTTAATTATCTATTGACAATTGTCAAATATTGAAACATCACACATGGTTTTGAGTAAACCTTAAAAAACTGAATTCTTTGCCCATTTAAAGTTGCAAACTTTATCGTGGGTTAGATCAAAAATTGTAAATACTAAAATTATAGAGTTCATATTGAACCTCCTCAATCTTCTGTTCCAATTCAATGAATAAAATAACAGATTAACGGGACTTTACTAACGGTTTGACTCTATTGGAGAAATTGCATTCGTATAGGATTGCAGATATAGTTCTTAACCCGATAAGCTCCTCCTCTATAGTTGGTATTGAAATAGGTGTTCCACAGGGATCGTTTTTGAGTCCTGTCCTATTTACACTCCACATCAATGATGATGCACCCTATATGCTGATAACACTTTCATTGTCGCTTCAGAAAATTCCCATATTTTATTGCAGAATAGATACAACGATATGTTGAGCAATGTAAATAACTGGTTTAACAGTAATAGTTTGTTTTTAAATCTAGATAAGATTTTTAAAATTCCACCAACGTGAGTTATATGTTCTAGTTTCATTTCCAGAGTAGATGATTGTCCAGCAGCTCAGTCTAAGAGTGTTAAATTTTTAGGTATTAAGATCGATGAGAATCTTAACTACGAAAATCACTGCGAGTTCTTGATTTCTCGGTTGAACTGGAATATTTCCATGCTGAGAAATGTACTGACGGAGTCACGATTATTCCAAATATATTATTCTCACATTGAATTGAAATAATACCAGGGGGTTGGTCTACGCAATCGACAGAAGTGTTTTTAGCACAGAAAAGAGCGATTCGTTGTATTGCTCGCATTCTTTTAGAAGTTTATTTAATAAATACGATACACTGACCTTACCGAGTTTGTTTACATTTGAGTGCAGTATATATGAATCCAAAAATAAAAGCCACCTCACTCAAAATGAAGCTATTCATTCTTTTAACACAAGACACCGAAACAAAATTCATATATCTTTTTCCAAGTATAAAATTTCGTCTAGATCACCCTGTATACTGGGCCTGCAAGTCTTCATTGGTGTTCCTGATGAAATAAAAGGTCACTGTTTAGAAACTATTAAAATAAGATTAAAGCAGTATCTACTGCAAAAATCTTTATACACTATAAACAGTTTTTTTTACATAACCTTTTACTTGTACTTGTTATTGTAAACTTTTTTATTTGATAATAATAATAATAATAATAATATTAATAATAATAATAATAATAATAATACTCATTATTAGTATTATTATTATTAGCATTTGCCATTATTTTATAGGAGTTATAATAAAACCTGTGGGCAAGGGAATACATTTTTTCTTTTTTCACTACCTCGATCGTGATAAATTGCAATGATAGTCTCCGATAAATTACTTATTTTAAAGTTCCACACCTTATATGATTCCTAAATTATTAACATATGAATAAGCATACAAAAGAAAAGCCAAAACGCAAAACTGAGGCAAATTTGTCAATATTATGCGATTTTTACACAAACTGGAAGAAAATAAAGTTGCCCCATTATTATTAGTATTATAGTATTTCTTTAAAAATAACAGCCATAAGAACACGAAAGTCGGCCGTATGAGATGCCACTACAATAAAAATTAAAATCATAAAAAAAAAATAAAAAACGCTCTTAACTACTTTTTTTCTATACCATGTGACAAACAGATTTAAAATTTAATAAGGTTTATATTAAAAAAATTAATGACATTATTGACATTTCATTAAAAATAACATATCCTTAAACATTTGTCTTTTCTGTGCTACAATTAACATTTACATAACTATATGCATAACAAGTGCGGTAAACGGCATTTGAGTGAGTTAAAACTTTACGGAACTTGTTGCATACTATACTTTTTCTACGACCGTTAGTTTTTGCATACATTTTCGCAAAACACGAATGCATTCACTGACATGACTGTCAGAATTGATAAACGTCAAAATTCAAAGCGTGGGAAATATCTCCGAAAACATCCGATTGCCGCCAAACCCGTGCGGTAAAATTCCGGAAATGTCCGAAGCGGCTCGGATTCGTGGGAAACGAAACTGACATAGTAAAGTGAGGCTTTCCGTACGCTAGATCGGTGGGTAATTAGGTATTTTAGAGACGGGATTAGAAAAATTATATTCTGACAACCACTTGTTGAATTTATTTTCGGTTATATCAAGAAATCGAAAATACTAAAGTTATAGGGTTCATACTGAACCGACTGAATAAATTAAATAACATATTAACTTTGCCATTTTCCTTCTTTTTATAGAAACTTAATAAAACCTATAAGTAAGAGCCAACATTTTTTCATTTTTTGGCAATACTGCTCATGTAAAAATTAGAACGTGAGAAAGAGAGTGAGAGGGGGGGGGGGTGGAGAAGAGCAATATCAATGCAATCTCAGGGATCGCTGCTAAACAGGAATGCCAACAAGGGCTACACTAATTAACATACAGAAGAAAGGCGAGTTTTAGATGAACGAAACTAAAGTGGCAGCTGTGCTACTGTAGGGAGTTTACTAAAATAATAAATATAATAGTAATTATGCAGGATGTTTATTACAGACTTGGACCGATAATTGAGATATTAAATATTCTAGATTCTGCATCAAGTAAATAAAAACTTACATAACAGTAAGAATAATAGGAAAATACGCTTTATATTTAAATGCTAGTCATTATGTTCCCAGTATAACTATAGTCTTTCGAGTCCAGAGAAGTTATAAAGGGCTCTACAGTAGTTTTGTTTTGTGGTCCCTGCTTCCCCCATTCTTTCTCTGATTTTAATCACATTTTCAACGCACTTACTTAATATTTCATACATCATGGTCTTTATTTCCTCTTGCAAGATGTTTTGGAAATGCATGGTGCCAAAAGTCATATTATATCTTGCAACAAAGCATTTTACTTGGGATTTAATGAAATACCTATTACCGTTCGTATCCATATCCAAATTTACAATCTCCCGTATGTTCTTTTTCCAGAATATCTCTCTGAAATTGCTTTTTATTTAAAGCAATAGGTCACTTAAAATGAAGTATATTCATTCACGTGCCTATAAAAATCCCATTCTGTTCAGGAGAGTTTATCAAAAGACAATTTTCCAATAGTTAACTTTCTCAGTACACTGACACCTGTCTCAAGTTTTAGTTAAACCCTTATACATGATTTTTAATTGACAATCTTCAGTAACTCGTTGAATGTAACCCAATTACTGATGTCAATTTTTTACTACAAATTTAGGACTACTAGCCATAAACAAGAACGAACCTTGCCAACAACTGCCGGTCATACAAAACCAGAATTTTAATTTTTAACACTAAGGTAGCAACTATGATCACAGATACCATTCCACGACTATGAAAATGTAACTTTATTTGACCTTCCTGTGTGTAACTGAGTGACAATTGAAATAATTCAACAAAAATTAAAAATCATTTTATTTTCATATTCAAACCTTTTTTTATAAAACTCACATTTCTAGATAAGATATAAGGCCCCTGTGAAACCGGCGACCCTGTACATTTAGAGATCTAAAGAATGTAATTCTCATGCTTTTGGCCCTTTTAAAAACCAAATAAACCGTCGATAAAATCAAGTATAAATATATAAATATAAAAATTGTAAACAATACAAAAGCCTCGGAAATTTTACGAATATATGCAAAGTGTATAAAAAATCTAAATATCATCAGCACAAAGAAAAAAATCAATTATCCCACCTCAACCCTGTAACGTCACTGAAATCAATAACTCCTTAAATATATCTGCCTCATCTTTAATTTTTGCATCCGTATTTCCGTTTTTCCTTCCGCGTGAAAAATCTCACATATTGTGCCTTTATAAAAATAAAACGCCCTCAACTTAGTGAATTATTAGTATTTTATTAGTAGGTGGTACCTTGATTGATAATTGATCATTTGGATGAAAAATATGGATGACGCTACAACTTTCTCAAACAACTGGCAACGTCGAATTATTCATAACATTTTGAATTGAAATTATCTATCTTACGTTGTGATGCAATTTCTATCGTCTTGTTAATGGATTTTTATCAAATTTCGTTTCTTGTTTTATTTCTTAAAGGCCATTGTGTTCAATTAGTTCCAAAATTTCTAAAACAACTGGTAAAAAAATGAAAGCAACACTTCGAGTTATCCTGTATTTCATTGCAATTCGTAACCTTTTTTGGTATCGCCAGTGGTGATAATGATGAATCTATTAATACTTGTTCTGAAGACTGAAATAGCAAGCCTAAAACAGGAATTTTTATCTATAAAAAAACCTTTCGATTTCTCCAATTGTATGCATGAGTCCCAAAAACGGAAGAATAAAGATAGATGATGGACCGGATGAAACAGGAGAATCATAGTCTCTATAAACATGTAATTATCAGGCCTAAGACTGCTATTAGCTATATAGAGAAGAAATGGCTACAGAAATGCCGCTCCTCAGAAAAGCAAAGGGTCCTTTGGACACAACAATGTGTGGCGTTTATAACCTAAAACCATAAAATTTTTATCAACGCAGAGTTGTGCAAAACAACATGCGAGCTGTTAAAGGAGGCTATGAAATCGAAAAGCAAACACTACAAATACGTGTGTGTGCCGCAATGGTCTTGTCTTTGTCAGGAAAATGTTCTTGTACAGGCTGAATCAATTATAAAGTTCATTATCTTATTAGTTTCATTTTTCGGACGCACAATTTAAAATTATTTTAAAGTATACAGGATGGCTTAAATGGTGACGAATAAAACATAGATTTTTTTAAATGGATCGCCCTATTTTGAAGTATTGGTTAAAATCGTTTTGAAATTTTTCAAATTTCTTATTAATAATTACACATACCTAAAGATAATAATTTTTCAAATATTTTAATTTTTCTTGCAAACAAATTACGATAGCGTCACTGTTTTTCAAAGTAGATTACTGATATGCGTCTTCAAAATAAAGCAATATATTTACTATCATCACTTTAAATATCGCATGTAGCAGGCAAATGATAGTTTTGTCCAAATGGCTTTTGCCTAGACAAATGTTATCTGAGGAAATGACCTCATGAAAATAATTTCTATTTAAAAGTCGTTTACCTAGGAAAATGTGATTTGCCAAGTTGTTGTTATATACGCGTTGTCATATTGCCTAGAATTGTTAAACAAATGTTCATAGTTCAGGGTTAATATATTGTGTCCAAATAGTATGACAAAATTTAGCAAAAAATGTTAAATACAAACACTAAAAGATAAGACTAGGACAAACAATTTAAAAATATTTTCAAATATACAGTGTGATTGATAAATATGTGGAACACCGAAGTTACATATTTTTATTTGTATGACCCCAACCCAATGTAGGATTGTTACGGTTTATGCTTAGTTATTTCGGATCTATCGCTATTTTCTAGTCAAAAATGCCATGCGCCTAATACTCTATACTTTTGAAGCCATTTCCGACAGCTGTATTTGTATTATATTAACTAACTAACTTCAAGAAAAGTATAGCACAAGTGTCTGCACTGCTGTTTAAAATTGTTGGCATAATAAAATTGCAGCTGTAGGAAGGGGTTAAAAGTATAGGTGAATGTTAAACACAAATCATTTTTGACGAAAACATAGCCATAAATGCGAAAACAGTCGGTATAGACTATAATAACCCTACAATATATATTCCGTTTGAAAAGTATAAATTTGGTTTCCCACATATTTATTAATAACCCCGATTATTTAAAAATAATTTTAAATTTTTTCTTTTAGTCTCGTCTATAACTTTTGTAGTTAACATTTTTCTCTAAAACTGATAATAAAGGTGATATATTTTACTTTGATAAACTATTTGGACATCCTGTATAAGGCCTTAAAGACTTCTATCCTTCCTCATGTTAAAGAAATGGTTTAGCGAATGTAAATATTAGTGTGTCACAACACAGAACTGCTCTTTACGAGCGGCGATTTACCTATAGCATGGATTTTTTTTAATAAAAGAAATGTCTATCTTTTGCCTTCACGTCAAAAAGCACAATTTATATTGTTACATGAAGAAAGTGCGGCTTGGGTTTTGCTTTTAACCTTTAATTAGTTTAATAATTTATATTCGTTCTGTTGTTGTGTTATTATTATTATTATTATTATTATTATTATTATTTTTATTGGTATTATTATTATTATTATTATTATTATTATTATTATTATTAATATCTCCCGTGTTTTTATTTTATTTCAGTTTTTTCAAGCATCTTGAATTGAATTGAATCAAACAAAATAAACAAATATTAAACTTGTTAAGCAAAAGCTGGAATTTAGAGATTAACTCGATGGTAGAGGATATCTCTATTTTTTACAAAAATATTGTTCAAGTTTGAAGCCAGTAAATTGCGAATTGTATATTCAATGTCGGAAGACATTACGAAACAAACAATACCAGACTAATTGGTTAACAAAGTTCATTTATCTAAATGGCCTTTTAAGGTGTTTATCACAAGAAAGCTTTGATAGTATTACCCATTACTCGTACGAAGCACATATATCCGCAATAGAAATGGGCAACCACAGTTTTGTCAAATTGCCTCCGTTTCTTGCATTTTAAGACTAGAACGAAACGTTTTTTGCTAACAACATTATATTTTTCAGATCTAGTCATAACCTGCCATGTTTGTTCCGGCTCTTCTAATCCTCCTGGTAGGCCTCATAATTTATTACGTCAGACGTTCCCACACTTATTGGAGGCGCCATGGTGTGACAGAAATATATCCAATCCATCCAATATTTGGCAACGCTAGAGAGACCTTCCTTTGCAATGAGTCGATATACGAGTTCTTCTTGCGAATTTATTCCATATTTAAAGCCAAACGAGTCAGATACGGCGGAATCTACACATTCACAGCGCGCGCCCTTGTTATCATAGATCCCGAACTGATCAAGGACATCATGCAGACGAGCTTTGATCACTTCGAAGATCGAGCTGGATACATCAACGAGGAAAGGGAGCCTCTCACCGCTCACTTGGTCAACCTCAAGGGGGCCAAGTGGAAGTCGATGCGGCACAGGTTGACGCCAACATTCACCTCTGGAAAAATGAAGATGATGTTCCAGACCTTCGTATACTGCATATCCGGACTTAAGGGGATGATCGAGGGATACGCTAGGAATAAGGAGAGCGTTGATATTAAGGACGTACTGGCGAGATTCACCACCGACATAATTGGAAATTGCGCATTTGGCATAGAATGTAATTCCATGAAAGATCCCAGCTCGGAGTTCAGGGTCTACGGGAAAAAAGTGTTCGACAGAAACTTCTGGCAGAACGCGAAGATTACGATGACCAGGTGAGTGACACAATATAAAAAGTTGGGCTCTAAATTGTATAATATATTAGAGAGACATATTTGTTTCTTCAAAGAAACTTCTGCAGGCTGTGGAACTTGTGGGTACACATTTTCTAGATAGCGCTTCGAGAAAGTCGCCAGCATGACTATATTTTTTCTCCGTTGTTGTTAACTTGTTTTTCGTATTCAATTTAATTAAAAAAGGCGAGTGTTTGTGCAAAAATTTTTAATTGACGAGTTCCGTAAAAATTGAATGGTGATTATTGTTATTGTTATTTGTGCAGTCCACAGATTTTTCTGTCTCTGGAATGGAAATTTATCCACTATATTCAAAAGGAAGCAATGCAAAATTGCTTAGGCTCAGTGAATATGATGAATCATCTGCACATCAAAATGTATACTGTAGCAGCAATCTCTCTGCAGCTATCCACGGGCGTAGGTAAACTTAAAATAATACGAATAGTTCCTTTATATTTTACTGGTTTATTTGAATAGTGAATACCTGGATTTCAAGAAAAGTTCTTTTATATTTTATTGGTTTATTTGAATAGTGAATACCTGGATTTCAAGAAAAGTTCTCCCAGACGTCCATCATAATTTATTCTTGGGCACTTTTCGCAGTACCTATCTCTCTCTTTTAATGAGCAAAAGAATAAAAGACATATAATTTCTAAATATACATAATACCCACAGAATTGAAATTTTAATTTTTATTTTATTTTTAATTTTACTATTTCGTTAATTTTTAATAATCTCCCTTAACTTAACTGGTTTTTTATTTTTATTTAGCTGAGAGAACAGTCACAAGAACAATTATCAATGGTGGCGGTGTTTTGAAAAAAAAAATGAACAACTGAACAAAAAAAGCAGTCTGAGATAAATAAAAGTTAGTTAATCTTTTAATGAAAGCGGAAATGGTTAAAGCACCTCTCACATCAACTGGGACCTTATAAAAAAGTTTAGGGACCAAGTTGAAACAAGTAGTGCGAAGTTTAAGAATTCTGAGTAGCTCGCAATGGCTAGGTCGCCTTTCATGCATATTTGCACGAGTTATAAATAAACCTCTCATAGATTTTGGAACATTTTGTATCTGCTTATATGATCATGTTTCTGTAAATTGTATGCAAATCTCAAACTAGTTCAATCAAATCTACCACATCTTTATGTACAAACATGGCTTAATAGCTTAATGCTGAACCCTTAATTTTTACCGACTTTAATAGGACTGACATCATTCTCATTGGGTTTTATTTTGA